TTTTTTTTTTGCGTGATTAGAGAACACTGCAATTGTATGATCAATTAGCCCTCAATGAAAGAAATAATTTTTTCACCTCGTGCTTTAGCACTCCCCATATAATCTTCATATACCTTTATGATTTATAGTTTATAGATATATGATACAACTATAATAAGTTTAAAGGACAAAATTTTTCTTAATTATTTACTAAACTAGGGCCGGCTGTGCGTGCACAGCCGGAATCCAACTAGTATATATATATACTAGTGTGTAGCCCCGTGCGATGCACGGTAATTATATTAAATAATAATTATAAATAGATCTCGAGTTCGAGTGGTGGGGAATCATTATCCTATTTTAAAAGAGTAAAAGAAATATATAAATTAAAGATGTGGGTTAACATGTGATGTAATTGACCGCCGTACATCAGTTTAATAATTATAAATAGGTCTCGAGTTCGAGTGGTGGGGTTAACATGTGATATAATTTACCGCCGTATATCAGTTTGTTATCAACAATATAAAATTAACTTGTATAAGAGAACATAAAATTTGCATGTTTAAAATACTAAAAACATGTAAAAGTATGTAAAAGTTTATGTATTATTATTAAAAGATGTGAAGTCATCTACAATTTTTTTAAATATTTTGGAAAGAAAACATGTTTAAAAACATTTAAATTTTATATTTTATGAAAGATGTTTTCTAAACTCTGTTGTAAAGAAAACATGTTTAAAAATATTTAAATTTAATATGTATATATATACGTGTATATGTATATATAGATATAATATGACATGATAAAATATTATATAAAAGCATCTACAATATCATAAGCCTAAATAAAAACATTATAAATTTTTGAGAGAAAATTTACCACTTATATATAAAATAAATAATGAAATTATACCGAGAATTATGACGGTATTTCTTATTATTTTTTTATAAGTTGTTACCGTTAAAAAAAAAATTGTACGCATAACAATTCCACGCTTTATGCAGATTTATTAATTTTACAAATACATATCAAAATTAATTTAAAATGTAACAAATAAAATGGAATTTTATATATAAGTGATATTAATACAAAATTGAAGACAATATATAAATCTGTATTTTTTCTATTAACTTTTTATTATGTGCATTTAATATTTTTGGAGGAGAAATATGTGATAAATCTTATTCTCGTTATATATATATA